ATATAAATTTATATATACACATACGTTTGTTACAATTGATTCCAATTTAGCTAGACAGAAATAACTTCACTTTTTGTTATCTGCCCAGTCATGACAGACCAAAAAAATCTTGAAATATTATTTAAACCTACCAGCCTTCCAGTGTTGATCCATGGCCACATTGTAGTAGTAACGCAACACTAAAAAGTCAGGAACACTGTCCATATTATGATATTTTAAAGTAAAGCTATCCCCTGTACAATCCCCTGTTTCTGGATCAATCATGGCCAACCTTAGATGACACAAACGTGGAGGAAGAATTTCAAACTCTATATCTTCTATACGAACTAGTTCTTGTTCCTGCACAGGGTGATCCAAACAGAAAACTTAAGCTTTCATTACATAGCTCACAGCTTAATTTCCTTAGATGAAGAATTGATGTTGAAATCACTTTTCTTGTAAAACTGAAATACCTTTCAGTAATTAGACAGAAATACTTGCATTTAAAGCACATGTCAACTAAAAATAGTATACAAGTTATTCCAGGTGCAAAGTAAGTTATAGTGTACATGGAACCTAACACTGACTGGTAAGTAAGTTACTGATATGAAGCTTATGCTTATATATATATATATAACACATAGCATTAAAATAGCATGAAATTAACAAATTATGATACACGTAAGTGCCCAATTACACAAGTGAAAATAGACTTGATTAATCAATGAATGTTCTGACTGAAAAACAGATAAAAGGGCAGAGAAAGGCTTTGACAAAGAGCGGCATATTATTAGGACTCTCAAATGAAATTACATGTAACTATACAAAATTATTAATTACACAATGTCATATATATGAGCATGTGAAAATAAAACAGGAAGACAGATATACAGACAGATGGTATATTGCAGTGGACAAGCACTGAATGATTAATCCTTTTTTAGGTTTTCAGATGAATTTTACTCTTTCAAAGTACCAATCAGAAGCACATGGTAAGGAGCAACTTGTGCAATTTAAAAACGAATAGAAAAAAGACATTTTCAACTATTAAAGATATAATAAAACTTCACAAAAATTTAGCTTTAAAGGACTTTCTTATGATACTATTAATGTCTAAATATGAAAAAAGTTGAAAATTTAAGCTATAACATCTTTGTAGTAGTTTGAGGAACTAATTTCAAATTTCTTAGCAACATTACTCAAACCTCCTGCTATTCTAAATGTATCTAACAGATTACTGAGGCATTCCATTAAGTATTTATAAGCTAAAAACATATTTTGTTTCTCTTTTTTATAAACTCTTTGAAATTCTGAGATCCTCAACAGAAACTACCAACTATTTCAGAACATTTTTTACCAAATATATATATATATATATTGTAAATTAAAGATTCTATGCTTCTTTATTGCAACATTTATACACATTTCCTTCACTTTGTCAGTGCAGTTAACCACAGTTCTGAGGAGACCACAATTTTCTTCATATTTTTCTATTAACACTTTTGTTTGCAAAATAAAACACCTGTGCTTGCTTACAGATTTATACACAAATAAGATACATATAAATACTTTATATGTAGTTTACAAAGTTTGAGCACTTAAAAAGAAAAGTTGCATATAAACTTCAAACTCCAAATTCTTAAACAGTTAAGTAAAGAGTATAGACTTTAGATAATTAAAATGCTTATGTGAGAGAACAGAAAGCACCATAAGATCTTACATGAGAAATTCTAACGCAATTTTGTTTTTAGAGTCTTTTCAAAAATGAAACAGAATATAACCCTGCTTGCAAATAGCCTCCTTGTCTTAGAGTTTACTGTCATTTTTGCTACTTGGGCAGAACATGGTAGGGTGCCTCTGTAGCACCCCAGCCTGTAGATAGCGTCAGATCATCTATAAATCATTACATTCCTAATAACTTGAAGTCACAGTAAATTTGCTCTATTTATTTCAGAGAGTTGCATAATTTGCAGCTCTAAAAACACAATTCACTTACGCGCAATCTGAGTTTCCTAAAAGGTTGAGACTTCAAACTAACATCATATATCTTTGTTTTCTTGACAGCTTTCAAGTAAATCTCATGTCCCTGCCAAAAATAGAGCACCTCATCTCCTACTTGAGGGACATATGGGTTCTTCTGGGGCACTACATGGGTGAGCCATTCCGGTGGCTTGTACTCATCAGGAACTTCCTTTATTCTTCTGTTCTTCTGAGTAATGAAAGTATAAAAGTTTCAGAATAATGAGACAGAAAATACAAATAGTATACATGTTTTATAAAATGTATGTAAGATATTTTATTATTTGAAGATATTTTTGAGATTGTTATGGTATGCATGCCTTTTACAAACTGGTGAAGCATGATTATAATTAATTATATTTGTCATAAGACATTATGTTAGGCCTTTTTTTTAACACTGCATTATTTATCTAATCCCTTAGGGATTTTTAAGAATTAGATTAAGAATTTATTAAAAAAAAAGCCTAAAATAATGTCTTATGACAAGTATAATTAATTATTTTTAAGATTTCTAATAATATCACTGACATATTGGAACAAAACTTTACATTCTTTTCGCTTCTCCATGAAAAATATTTCCAAAGAATCTCTAAATGCATTTAAAAATAAATCACACTAAACTATTTAATATGTGAAAAACTAAGTGTAGTTAGTTTGAGATTATCAAAATGGATCTTTAGTTAAGACTCACATTGAAAGTACAGAGATATAAATTTTAATAAAATATAAAAGTAATTAAAAATTTTTTGATAAAAATAAAGATGATGTAGGGATGGCAGTGAATACAGAATCAAGTACGGATGAATACACAAAACCATACAAAAATCCTGTATGATGACGTTGTAACGTGTAGAGTCGCCAACTTTCTAAAGGCCATAGATAGGCCTAAATAAAATGTTTTTAATTGTGTACCAGTTTAACGTTGAATATTATTTATGATTTTAACACCCCTAATATTGAGCTTTGAGGCAATGGTTGCTCATTTCAGTTTTGACTTTTTGTGTATGCTTACTTTGAACTTGACTACAAGACACGCAAAATCACCAGAAGCCATTTTATATATTAAAAACATGATATATAACTCAGACCCCTCTCTACATTCCCAAAAATTGGATTTACATCAAATCTGATGATACAATCCATTAAAAAAAATGTAATTCAGCCAGTGAAATTCCCTATATCTTCCCTGCACGGTAAATATTTTCAAGTTTTCCCTGTTTCCATTTGGCTGGACACCCTGACATACGTATATATCTGTATGAGTGTGTGTGTGTGTGTTCTTTTGTGTGTATGCTTAAATATGACCAATAACTGATAAACCATTTTAGAAATTTCCAAATTACCTTTTGCACAACTTATTTTTCTCATAAAATAGTTACAGAACTTATTAATGTAGTAAGATGTTTCAGTTACAAACTACTCAGACAAAGTCTTGAAATATTTCTTTTTATCAAACAACCCTTAACAATATTTTTAATAAAAAGATAATTGCACAGTGTACAGAACACTAACTCGTTTGTTCTGTTTTTTCATGCAAGTTTTTTTTTCATCTTCATCTCTGGTTTGTGATTCTTCTCCTTTATGATCTTCCTCACCAGCTCGGTGTTTTCCTGATTTGGATTTCTTCTTGAAAGAGTCTAAGCTCACTCCAGCATCAGCAGTCCAGTCTGAATACTCTTCTGATTCACTAACAAGTAAAAGTTTTACATGTGATATTTTAATACATTTCGATTCTGGTAGATACCCTAATTGATGATGATGTTCACATAAACATCCATCATTCTGAGATCTATACGTAATCAGTTGGAATATAAGATTTCAATACAAATTGAAAACATTTTATATTTACCATTCATAATTAATGAACAATTAAGGGAGTTTTTGTTCATTTTTTAAAACCTTCTGTGTTATTTAAACATCTAAAACTAAATCTTTGCTTATTTCAACTTCTGAGCACAGATTACTTTTTTAGAAATAGAGAAGCTGGTAAACATGCACTCTTTCTGAAGCTACTAAAATAACAATATGACCAAAAAATAGCATTGTAATAAATGCTAGTCTGGGCCAAGTTCAGGTATTTTTATTTACAAAGATTGTGATATGTAGGTATATTTTTTCTACTAGCTTTAATTATATTGAAATTTTACAAAATTTTCAGTTTTTTAGTTTCCATGCTGAAATGGCAGCAACACGTTGTCCAGAAAGTTGTTAAAATTCCCATGTTCTGGTTGCTTTTTTCTCTACATTAGGTAACATCTATTCTGTCTGAGAGGATACTGTAGTATTATATAGCATCTGGGTTGAACAGATTAGTACTGTAATATCATTTACTGGATGGGCTGAAATCGATTAAAAGTAACATCCAGTCAATGCTGAGAAAGGATAAATGTTACAAGGTGACACTACTTACTGGACAAAGAAAGTGGATTTGTTGAATACAAGTGAACATTTTATTAGCCAGTTTTACTAGGAGACTGTTGTGTGAAGACATACTTTAAGAATATTGTGTTTTAGTTACATTGAGATTAATCTTGAGGGAAAGAAAGCTGTGGAGCTAAACACAGTTTAGTAGAAGCAACTGCTACTTCATCTAGCCAATTACATACACTGTGCCTTCTGTTTGTTTTCAACAATGAAGATTTTATTCATTTATTAAGATTTGTTCAGACTTGTTATTTTACATTTAAAGAAATTCAGCCAGGTTATCTACTACAGAACATTTCCTTTATTTCTTCATAAAACCTGCTGTTATTTGTAGGTTTGCCTATTTGATACCTGTAGGAAAACTGATTTTACGTGATAATACCACAAGATTTGCCAAGATACAGTTGATTTGATAAGTTTCACAAGGGCTATCTACACTAAGCCACCCCTACTTATGGAGTCACAGACTAGAGGTAGGGGAGCTAATCAACACCACCCATTACCAATTCTTGGGCTTCTCTTGTCAGAGCAAATAATGGAGTGTAAGTTTTTTATGTTGGTTTCCAAATTAACTTTGATACCAAGGAGCATCTACCAACAAACATGCTGGCACTTTCAACTATTGGGGCATTATAATGTAATGGTCAATCTCACTATTCAATTACAGTAGTCCACAAATTGGCAGTGGGTGGTGTTCAGTAATGTAACTACAAAAGATGTCCTTCTCCTCTTGCATTAAGAGTAATTGAGCCCCCCTCCACTATTATGCCACTGGTGATGTTAAATAACTACTTTCAGCCTTATTTTATCACTTCTAAGTTAAAAATTGCTAGTGTAGACAGCCTCAAGCATCTTTGCATGAAATTCAACAGACAAACATGACTATGAAAATAATTCCACCTGCTAACTATCATAGGAAATAAACCCAATTTTAGGGCTAGAAAAGTGATCACCCAAATGTTTCCAGTTTTAATGTGGGATAATAGTTTTTAACTATTTGAAATCTCTATTAGGTGTGGGGGATATGTTAGCAAACTGAATTGAAGAGTGGCTGGAAGGAAGAAAGCAAGGGGCTGTTATAAATGGAGTTCAGCCAAACTGGATTAATGTCACAAGTGGGGTGCCTCAGGGCTCAGTCTTAGGACCTTTGCTTTTTTTTAATTTCCATCAATGACATAGATGAAGGAATAGTCAATAAATTACTT